CCGCTTTACTACTCACTGACCTACAAAGATTTGTAAATTTTACAGCAAATTATGCACATGTGCAAATGTTAACACCACATCAAATTTGAATCAATTTCTTATAAGCATTCCAAACATTTCATAAATAATATGATTTTAACAACCGACCAATACGGCCTTGTACAGTGAAAATGGTGAGACTTAGCCCCTTATTGCTTTATAAGGCAATTCGGAATTATTTATTGAGTTCTATTTGTGGTTAAAGTTTGATTCACTCGAACTGAAACACCCTGTATCTCGGCTCCTATACATATATTGGTCGAATCGAGGCGCTTTTTTTTCTTAATTCATGGTTTTTTAAGCACTATTTGATGCAATTGGTTTGAAATCTGTATATTAAAAAATTGCCAAGATAAGAACCTAAGTTACTGTTTTTTTTTTGGTTTTTTTATTACCTAATAACTTTTTTATTTTGCAATTTAAAAATCTGAAATTTACACAAACGCGAGATATTGTAATTACCACATACTTCTATCCTATACTGATCATTACCTATAGTTTCAATGGATGACCTTGTTTCCAAAAAGTGGGGGCGAGACGTACTCCGTGTGTTTTGCGCATGTTCCATAATTAGGCGCGGTTGCATTTAAATTTAAAAGACTGTCACGACATGCTCTGTACTATAGCCGATTTGTATACATATGAGATATTAAATCTATTTTCACTGAGTTCACTTCAATTTCTAAATGTTTACTTTTCTACCATTTTCTTATATGAGTCCTCTATCGATAGGCTCCTTATCTAACACATTATTTTACTATTTATTTTTTACTATTTATTAATTTCAATAAATAACGTAAGTATCTGCATAACCTATTTAATATTTTGCAGGCTCAAATAAAATAAAACAATACAAATTTATATGCTTTTAAAACTATGTACATAGGCATGTTCGTAATTTTGGACATTTTTTTAAATGACATTGGTGTATTTATTAAACAAGACTAGTATTTCAAAAAATCGTCACTATTCACGATAGCCGGGTACAACTGACAATTTTTTTTTTTAATAAAAAAATGTTTATTATATAATTATTTAATAGTGGTTTCTGCAGTTTATTTGATAATATAAAAAAACATGCTATAAAATATCTGTAAAAGACCAATCCGATAATAATGTCCATCACGATTAAGGCTCTTATCGAGTATAATTTTGAAACATTTTTACTAAATATCAACACAAGATAAATTAATAGAAGCATTAGTGCAGGTTTAAACAGATTATGAAATAAAACTGAAAAGATACATTTATTTATTTATTTATTAAAATATACACTATACCCTAACAGTTTCACCAAAACACTAGACTAGCACAACACAAAACAAAACTGAGAATATTAATATTTTTTAGGTTAGCTTGGTTTGACGTTTGACTTTTTTACCGCTCGGCGCTCACCGTTCTTGGTTCCTTTCAACCAATCAAAACCCGTAAAGTAAACGCATGCGTATGAATACGCTGGTACGTCGCCCCACTTTTCGGCTTCAACTCAATTGCAAAATGATCAGTATAGGATAGAAGTATGTGGTAATTACCTTTCGATCCTTTTTTATTTCGATATCTTGACTTGGGCATTTTCGACTTTATAATTTTGCAATAGGCCGCCATTTTGAAATAGGAGGTCCGATGCGGGATTTGTTGAGCATTCCAACAGTTATATTTTCCTGTAGTTTCATCCAATTTCAGTAAAATTTGTTAATTTTATTTGTTTCTGAAAATTTTGCATTTTTTTACACCGTTAAATTTTGCTATGTAAAAAAATGTAATGTGCCCTTGTAGCAAATTTACTTAGGAACAAAATCGATAAATATACCTCATGTAGATTAGACGCTTATTTTCTGAGATATAAGCGAAAAACTGAATTTTTTCTCTTATAAATATGACGCTCGACCTCTACAAATACGCAAATTTAGGCTTTTATTGTGTGTATTTTTTACTTAATTTCAAGCAAAATTCGAGTTAGGCCCCATTTTTGAAACATGCCTGTGTTTGGTCTAATTCGTCCGGATTATAAAGTGCCAATAGGCGTCAATGACAGAAAAATATAGGTATTTCAAGCAGACGAAAAGTAGAACTTTTGCAATTATTTGCCTTTTATTTTGACAACCTACAAAACCGCAAAAGAATGAAAATATAAAATAGTTTTTACACAAAGTATTTATTAATACTGCATATTTTATCTAACATAAATAAATAATAAATAAGTACAAATGAAAGTGTGAGAGGTAATGAGTAATATCATATTGTTATACATACAAATTCACATGAAACCATCAGTTTATGGCACACACAACGTAGTATTCTCAGTGATTCAGAATAACTTAAAATATAATTATAGGAATCTGTACTCTACACCACAGAAATTACATTTTACATTACATTACATATTTTCATTAAATTATTATTTACAGTGAACTTAGTTCTACATTTTAAAAGTTACATGTGGTACGTATCTACTTAAATTAGTTAATATAATATATTAAAAATCTATGTACAATATAAACTTCATAAGACAAGCATAAGTAATGTTAATGTACTTATGCCACATTCAAGTGCAGACATATAAATATACATATGGTGGTAATGCGGTATCTAATTACGAAAATATTAAAGCATTTATGATTTCTATCAGCATTTTACGAATATATTTATAATATGTATTTGAAATTTTTAAGATAAAATTACAGTTTCTATTATAAAAACTAAGATTATTATTAGTATAATACTTTTTACAAGATATTCTGAGAGGGCCTGAAGCAAATGTATATACATGATCACTATATAACAAAATCCTGTATTAATATCATTCTCGTCAATTAGAAAAATTGGTATCTAGTGTTTTGTAGTAAGAAATTTTGGAGCTTAAAGTTTTCTTGGACAAAACTATTACATACAGGATCCTGTAGTAGAGTCAATCAGTTGGGGTAATCGTACGAAGTGAGCCCTGCTGTAAAAACGTGTTGGTGGATATTTAAAGTTTACACTAAAAATAGAACTGCGTAAAAAGTAAAATGAGCAATTTCGTTAAAATTTTTGTGGTTTATATAAAATGTACCGCGATTTATTTATATATAAGTATAATATGAAATTGCTTAAACCGTTATTAATTAATAAAAATAAAAGGATCATGCCATGGAGTAATTTCAAGTATGCCGAGGATGTGATTTGGCGGAAGAAACCCTTTTTGGATCCCAAGGAACTGAGAGAAGTGTCGGCAAGGAAGCTTTTGGACTTTGTTAAAAATTCAAAGCTACTTGCTGAATAGGTTTGAACAGTGGGACGCACAATAGGCCTGATAAGGTCGCGCTCTGGGACTTGAATAGAACCTAACTACAGGAAGAAGAAGAAGAATTTCAGGTAATATTTTAGCCTACACACTATGGAGTGTAGACAAGGAGTGAAGGCACCGCGCATACAAATTCTGATCCCGTTTTATGACCCAAAGTAAATTTTAAACAGTCGCTGTTGCAGCGCTGATGCACGGGAGAGTCTAGTAATGAAGTTTTACTTACAAGATCAGACCCACTAGATAAACGGAAGGAATTATTCAATATTTATTAAGAAATTAGTAAAAAATAGAAGTTACTTTTATCCATTAGTATGAGAAAGTAAAATAACTCCCTTGTTATTCATAATACAGAAAAAAAGTTTATATAAAAGTTGTACAGAATCAAAAAACCTAAAGGACAAAATACGATCATTTTAAGAAAGTTCAAACTTGATTTTCTAAAATTTTTCCGATGGTACACCCTGTATTTTATTGTTCTATTTTATTCACATATCAGTCCACTTCAACTTTTATGAAGTATGTTCTACACCTAAAGTTGTTAGTTTTTAAGATATAGCAACATTTTTGGAAAAACCTAATTTTTATTATTTTCGTTCGCATGAAATGGCTTTGGAAAAAACTATCACATTGTGTCAACTTGTCAGTTCATAATTTATCATTCCATTTTGAGTTAATTTTATTAGTTAATATTTATTTGTAGTATTCTATAAATTATTAAAAATTAAGTTTTTTCAGAAATGTTGCTATATCTTAAAAACTAACAATTTTAGATATAGAACATGTTCAATAAAAGTTGAAGTGGACCGATATGTGAATAAAATAGAACAATAAAATATAGGATGTTCCATTTGAACAATTTTAGAAAATCAAGTTTAAGCTTTATAAAAATTATCGTATCATAAAAAATGCCCGGTATAAAATATCGATATTAGCTAATATAGGAGCTCTGTCTAATTATTTTGTTCCATGTGTTAGTAGCTGAAAATTAATACAATTTCTTGGAGGTCGTGTTTTTTCCAAAACTTGAAGAATTTTCTACATAATTTGGCAACCCTGCACTAAAATGATAAACTGTTTATATTGCCATATAATATAGAAATTTCTCGGAAATCCATTTAAAAAATGTAACATTTGGCCGTTTTGACTCATCATCCTGTGTGTATAAAATTAATTTTGTAGGTACCTACTTTAGGTTTCTTGATTATGTATAACTTTTAAATAAACTTTTTAGCTGTATTATGAGTAACAATAAGGGAGTTATTTTACTTTCTCACACTAATGGTCCACCCTGCATAAACATTATGTCATTTTAATTTCGTCGGACACCTTTTTCCTCTCTATTTAATTACAGCAACGTCGCCTTTATAGAACTAAGAAATGGCTCACTCTTTTTTAACACGAAGTCTTCACTACTTGTATAAACTCCATAATTTGAACAGTTCGACGCATAATTAAGTTCATTAGTGTTGACGTCATCAACGCCTTCTTGTTTCTATAGATTCAGAAGATTAAAGGTACGTTGTACATATAACATATTTACATTGAGGTTAAGTTAAAATGTTAAAGTAAGTTTTTGTGATCATTAAAAACTATAACATATAGTACAATTAATTTATTTTTCCATATAATTTATTATGCATAACTTGAGACTCACTAATAATAATTCTATAATGACATTCTCAAATTGTTTATAAATGGATTGGATCGCGTCTTATGACCTATCCCAACAAAAATGGCGACGCTGATGTCAGGACGTCACGTCACACTAATGAACCTACCTAACCACTGGAAGAAGAAGAAGAAAAAGAAGAAGAATTTCAAGTAATAATTTAGCCTACAGGTTTGAGGTAAGTGTATGAGGTTAACTGTAGGAACACAACATATCGCAAAACAAAAGAAAATGTCCATAATCCATATTGCAAAATACTGTCTCAAGAACAAGTTGACACTGCCAAGGAATTAGGTACTTACTAAAGCTTCTACGAGTAGTAGGAAGAAAGTTTTAGTAATTGAGATTATTGCAACAGTTCTACACAAGAGTCAAATTAAACGTTATTATATCACAAAACTACGGAAGAACGAGGTGGTTATCTTACTATATATAAATAAGAGTTTAAGTAAATAATTGAAGGTATTTTTTAAAATTTTTATCTTAATATAGTCTATGACAGGTGCGTACAGTTACCCCAACTGACTGCATCCGGTTCAACCTATTGCTATTCAGTTAACTCTTAATACAGAAATAAACTAAATATGTATGTATCACAGTACAATATAAAAAATATGATCCTTAAATAATGTATTTATAAGATTAGTACATAACTAGTCAAAAGTCGCTTCCAAATGGAATCTGCTTCCATGTAAAAAAAATTGACAATGTCCATTATAAAAGTGGAAGATAGTTTTTATTTCATAATCGCTGTCTACCAGCGCAAATTACTTAAAAATCTCATGAAAGAGAATCGGTCAAGAATAATCAATCGCTCTCAAAATTTTAAATATAAAATTTGCCGAATGTTAATTTTAATATCTACGCGTTGGAAATATAAAGTTGAGAATATTTAAGAACATTTACTTAGGCCTACAAGAGATTTATCTACATTTCCGGTTAAATTTTCCACCCATCTGCGAGAGTATACGTATTTATTAATTTTTAAAATTTATCTTCTAATGGAATGTCCATGCTCAATACCAAACACCTCTTTAATTTAGTACATATTTCTAAACATCGATTTTTTAGTTTTTTTTCCTAATTACTGATGGGCAGATCGGTAAAATCATCCATTTACCGACAGAGGATTCTCCTCACTTGCATCATTTTCCTTCCTTCCCAAATAATAAAACAGAACTGAAGTCACATCTCAAATGTTGTTCAATAAATACATTTCGTTTGGACTTTTGGATATATCAACATCCAATGGTACTTTTCAGTCGTTCGCCATTTGTACACACTTAGTTGCAGACGTGCTCCTCCTTTCTAGATCTGCATATATCACAAACAACGTTGCAACACCAAATAAATTGACACTTGCATTTTTCCTCCACCTCTCGCACCCTGGTTTGGTAACCTCTTCCGCAGCAAAGCAGTCGACAGCCGTCCATTCCCTGACTGGTCCGATTGCATATTCTTCCTCTAGTACCCAGGATATTTAGCCTGAAAATGAACATCTATTTAGGAGATCTATAAGCGAATGGAGCATTCTTCAAGGGATGAAAGTAAATTAATATGAAGTTGTTTCCTTTATTTTTTTTTTGTAAACAACTTGGTCATATTTTTAGTAATTTCAAGGAAAGTTGGTATACGAGGGATTTTGGAATAGTCGAAGATAGATCGCTAAGAGTACCTGAAATAAATAGTCTTTTATTCTTCTGTGACACTGTTTAGACCGATCGAAATAACCCATTTAGAGAGAGAGAAAAAAAGAAAATTGTTATCTAGACTTTTATAAGTGGAAATGATAAGGGGCTTATTATTATAAGCCCCTTAGGTTTATTAACCTAAAAAAATAAATGTGTGAGCAGGAATGGCGGAGGGTTAATTTTTATGGTTGAAAATTTGTGAAAAATTGTATCATTGGGATTTCTGGCGAAAGTTGAGGTCAAACAAAAAGTATCTAATACAAAACTTGTAGATCCTGCAAAACTACAACTTTCATAGAAGTCACTTATTAAGATAACCTCAAAATTTCCGAGAAAAATGCGAGAAACAGGTCTTTTTTCTTATTTTTCGTTTTTTATTTCTCATTTCTGTAAAAATAACTTAATTTTGACAAAACTTAGTGAAAGTATACCTTTCTGTGTCTTAAATAACCAAACATTTTTTTAGATAAAAAAATCAAGAAGTTACCGAGATACCTATTCATGTTTTCCTATTTGAAAATCATCGTACGGAGTTCTGCCGATGATCATTTTTTTCGGTTTGACATATACTTTTTGGTGGGAAAATGAAATGTGTAATCACAATTCAAAAACATGCTCAAAAATGCAAAAAAATAAAAAATGACTTGCAACAATGAATTTTTTAGTAATTGCTGATAATTTGTTTAAATCTAAAAAAAAAATCAAAAACTGATTACACCATTCAATTGTACGGAAAAAATACAAAAAAAACTGTCTCCTTTATTTTTGTACAGTATCAAATATTTTGAAAAAAAGGCGGTTTTTAAAAATATTTAAAATTTTATTCAAAAGTAAATGAAATTTTTTTTTAAAATTTAAGCTTCTAAAATCGTTCAAATTCCCAGAATCTACTGTTAATACATAAATAAAGTAAGTTGCAGAAGGAATACGTTCAATTTCTTTTTCCGTTGTCATTAATTTGAATACCGATTTTTTTTTTCTCAAAAATCAAGACAATCATATTATTTTGATTATAACTTCATTAGTATTCATGCTAACGACTTCTACCACCACTCAATTTAAAGATCTTTTCAAATACTTTAATAGGTGTTATATAAGTTTTCCTCGAAAAACCTTTCATTTTTCCGCTACAGGACGTTGAACGTTTCGATTATAGATATCTTCGAAATTGACTTCAACTTCTGGGGTTTTATACCATCTACAAAAATAAAAAAGCAATCTCTTTGCTATTTAATTACCTTCATTTTTGTTTATGATCATTTTTTTGATAAAATTTGTAGGTAGTTTTTGAGATATTCTCGAAAAATGGCTCAATACAAGCATTTTTTGGGGTAAAAACGAACATGTTTAAAAATAACTCAAAAAGTATTGACTGTACAAAAAATTTTTATAGAACATTTTTTGCTTAGAATTCGTCCCTCTATCGAATTGTGAGGTTATTTTTAATAGAAAAATTCCCACCCTCCAGAAGGGGTGGCATCCACCCCTAGGGTAAAAGTACACATCGGCACAATATAACCTTTGTTTCTTGGGCTATTCCCTAGCTACACTTCAAATTTCACGTTAATCCATTCCATCCGAAAAAATTGGTAGCCAACATGCTTCAGTGACTGGACTATTAGCGAAGATTAAAAAATCATTTTGTCACATAACTGCTGAACCTCTTGCAGATACAGGAAGTTTTATTAATAATCATAAATGAAAGTTAATTAAAGAAAGTAATTCTTCGTGGTTATTGCGACTAAAAGTACAATTCATATAAAAAGATTAGTTGTGGATTATTCTCACAATAAATTATTTATTTATTTATTATGACTATCGTTGTAATTGTACCGTTCATTATAAATGTCATTTTTATTAAAATTTTGGTACTTAAAGTATGAATTGAAGTTTGTTACACCAAAATAACAAAAAATTTCAATGGAAAGTTGACGTTTCAAGAGCCAAATTAAAAACAGTTGCCAATGCGTGCATTTCTGTCAAGCTAATTCTTAAATCTTGTTCAAGCTTTTAAGACACCATCTTCTGATATTTCATGGTAATAGCTTAATGTGCTTGTGGCAGTTTATGTTTATGTTTAGACTTTAATATTTTTTAAAACGAACAGATTTGTTAATTTTATAGAAGTCGTAAAATACATGCAAATACCGAAATACTTTAAACTGGTTCACTGAACAATAGTCAAGAGACATGTAGTATGGAACTCACGTTTCATTTTTCTCGCAGTAATCCGGAGAATCGTCCAAGTAGACGAGATCCGTCCTATTGGGCTTCTTCAGATCCGGGCTTATGGCTTTCAATTTTTTCCTCCGCCTCTCTACAAATTTGACGTGGGAAGCTCCCTCGTACCTCTGAAACAGACCTTCTGCGACTTTCTTGAAGGCCGGGAGCCGTTTCCAACATATTTTCATACTGCAGGATCCCGACACCCCGTGACACTTGCATGTATGTTGCATTCGTGACCGTACACTCTACAAATAATTAGATTTATTATACAGGGTGCGCCACTTAACACTCCCCAAACTTGTATCTCCCATAATTTTAAAGACATTACAACAGTCGACACATAAACGTGTACATATTTTAAAGGCCTTCTGAACTAATTATTCAAGGCATCTGAACTAATTCTTTAATTTGAAAGTAACTTAATTTTATATACGAGTATATGTCTATAGTAGGATCGTATTTGATGCAAAGTAGAGCAAAAAAATTGTCGGCCTTTTATCAAAGGAAAATTGTGTCATCATTTTTAGGAGGCGTAAGATGAACCATTTCAAATTTAAAATGAAATTGAATGTAAAATCTGAAATACTGCTGCATACGCACTGTGTTCTGGTACCAGCTGTAGTCGGCCAGGTGCATCGAGTGTACGAAGTGGTCGGTTATACGACAAATACTAACCTGGCAAGCTTGATCGTAAAGCAGAAGCGGAACAATAAACAGAGGCGCGTACAGAGGTGAAATGTAGTACATATGTGGAATTTAAATAACGAATTGGATTTATTATAAATTACATTTAAACAAATAGTTTATGAGAATAAAGGGATTTTTGTAGGAACAGGGTTCCACATGTGAACTGATCCCTTCATCGCACCCCATTGCGATTCTTTTTTTATAAGAACGAAATTTCAAAGCAAAAACCTTGTATAACAGATATAAGTACTATAAATATTTACAGAATGAAAACAAAATATAAATCCTATGATATGATTCTATCAAATGAAAACACTAACAACAATTCTCTATCAATTTCAACAAAGTAAGTTATTTTTCTATCAAACAAGAAATATTAACAAATTATAAACAAAATATAAATTCTATGATTTATGTACTGGTACGCCGAACTGCATTTTTCTCATCTTCATTTAATATTAATTTCTTCTTTCCACCCCCTTTTTTAGGTTTCTTAACGTCTCCTTCATTTTTCTTCTCTCTTAAAATTTTGAAAACAGATGATTNAAACTTGTATTTCCCATAATTTTAAAGACATTACAACAGTCGACACATAAACGTGTACATATTTTAAAGGCCTTCTGAACTAACTATTCAAGGCATCTAAACTAATTGTTTAATTTCAAAGTAGCTTTAATTTTATATACGAGTATATGTCTATAGCTTTTGATGTTATACGGTGTGTTTAAAGATGGATAAGTACATATGGTGCCTCCAGAAACTATCAGAAACAGAAGACTAACATTTTTATTCTGGTATAATTTCTCTAAGATACATTGAAAATAACAGGTCATCAAGGATCAAGATGGAGACACACTAATATGCATTCCCGAAGGATTTTGGTGCGCTGAATCCGAATCTGGCCGCAGAATTCACGTCAGGTTTTTGAGATCCCTTAGACGTCAAACAGTTTATTGCAGTTCAGAAATTTCATACTCAGAAACATTCAAACTCACAAACTCCAAATCCACAAACCCAGAAACCCCAAACCCACAAACCCCAAACCCACAAACCTCAAACCCACAATCCCTAAACCCACAAACCCCAATCCCACAAAACTCGAACCTACAAACTCCAAGCTTACAAACCTCAAGCTCACCAACTCCAAACCCACAAACCGTATGCGTATGAAGTTTCTGAAATGCAAACGACTGCTTGATGTCTAAGGGATCCTTAGTCGATTTTCGCATATTAAGAAACTGAGAAACTTAAAAATTTCAACATGTGATATCTCAACGAAAAAAAATATATATATATTTGAGCAAACTCAACGGCATTCAAAGGAGGGAGCCTTGTACTTTTAGATTAAATGTATTAGTTTTTTGAAAAAGAATAGATGGCATTACTACATAACCTCAAATATGACGAAAAACAGTGTTTTTTGCACTTTTAGGTTAGGATATCTCAAAAACCTGACGTGATAGAGCAATTCTGCTGCCAGATTCGGATTCAGCGCCCCTAAATTTTTTTAATTTTTTGTATCCTCACAGTAGGCCCATACTATCGAGTTTGGGACACCCTGTACATAACTACTTTTTAAGACACGTATAATCAAAGTATTATCTAAATCTAAAGAAAAAACAAATAAAAAAGTTTTAACAAGACAATTTATATCTTTGAACGAGTGTAATATTGACAATGAGGTTTCCAGTTCGAAATGTTACCAAAGCAGTAACATAATTAAATCCAGAATGAAATAAGGAGTATAATGACACGAAAATATTAATGGGTTTGCGATAAAAATGTGATTCCATAATTGAATACAGAAGCAAAAATAGCTTTTAAAAAGAGTCATTCAATTTTCGTATAACTTTTCAAATAAACCCAGCAAACGATGAAATTGAAATCTGAAGTTTGTACATAATAAATATTTCAAAAACTAAAAAAATGTTTTCGATTACTTGGAGAACATAATACGTAAATTATCCGATTTAATTAACTTTTCTACAGCAGTTTTCGAAGTCGCAATGTTAACTTATAATTCATATTGAATTTGGAATACCCTGTGTAGCAACAACTGCAATAAGGCATGATTCTACAATCATTTATTATTTTTTATCCAAACAGTTAACTCAGAAGGTGTTAAAAAGTTTGAAATACATAGGTTGTTAGAGAATATTTTAAAAATTATAGGAGATACAGACTTGAGTAGTTTTAAACGGTAGACCCTGTATAATTAAATATTTCTAAAAGTTTTCCTGGTTGGTTGCATATTTAGGAAACTTCGTTTTGTATACAGGTTATAGATAAATAAATGTGAAAATATGGAGGTATTGATTGCTTTTCATACAAAATAGTCTCCACCGACTTCTTTAAACATGGAGAAAGTGCAGAAATAAAATTATATACACTTACTATCAATAAGGCATTTACTTGATCTTCTGCGTCAGTTACAAGGGGGAAAAGCATGAATAATTTCTTACGTAACTATTTTTTATCACCAACATGGTAATTTAAAAATCTGTTTTAGATAGCTAGATTTATTTGAAACAAATTTGATCTCCCATTTTTTCCATACCTAAATATAATAGCTTTTGAGAAAACATTGAAATATACCATAGTGAACATAGGATTATGCTTCGTGAGAGAGACTCTATTACATTTAAAATACATTAAAATGAACTAATCCACTGTAAAAAAATTGGTCTGAGTGAAAGCAAAAAGGTACTGAATAAATTTTCAGTCAATATTGGACATTAATAATTTTCTACATTTTTGATAATATTTGAACTAAAGTGATAGTTTCACTCATAAAACTTTTATTCTACTGATATTAATAGAGGAAAATTTCACTTAATTTCAATTTCGTGAAATTGATACATTACTGGGTAAAATTGAGTGAAAATTAATTTTTCTTACAGTGTATACATTGAAAAAAGCTTTAATTATAAACTATTACAACGCCCATGAACAAAAATATATGGGATTTAAATAGGGTGTTGGACGAGGCCGTGACTGATGTCCACTAGTCTATCCATGGATTTGAAAATATGTTTCGTTTAAATCTCGTGCTCTTATACCAAAATGAGTAGGAGATTCGTCATACACAAACCAAAGCTGACACTCAAGGTACATCTTCAAAAAGTACTAGGAATACTTCTTCCAAAATGTGAGTTTTCTATCTCCATTGACAGAAATTAAGGACCAATTATGCGGTCTTCAAGAATTTAGTCCACAAATTCATAGTATGTAATTGTATTGTTATTGATGGTGAATCTCGGCTAAAGCATATGAAGTTTCTTCTGCTTATATGTTGTTATTATGATAATTATTATCAGTTCTATTAAAAACATGATTTAAGTAGTCTCTAAACAAGATATTATGCCAAAAGTTCACCATTTTGCCCAATCTTTTCTAGACGCTAATGAGAAAAGGCAATATGTAATCTAGAGGTAAAAGAGCCTGATTTGTTGGATGTAAAAGTTATCCATTTGGATTTTTTTTGTTAAACAATTATTACACTGGCGAAAAATAGGAGAGATAAAACTAAATTTTTCTCTCTCGATTTGAAGGGTCTTAAATCCGGAAATAAGGTTTTTGCATGAGAGACCTTTCCATTTAATTTTCAATATTCACATATATTTAGTCTTTATATACACCTTGCATATTACTACAGAGAGATCGAGAATGATTGACTGGATTCTGAACGTACCCTGTCTCAATTGCTATCAAAACTGATTTCCGTTTGCTAAAATTACCTTTTTTCCGTGCGATTTCATGGTGTTCTGTGGCGATTTCACAATTTGACGTTCTGTCATTGGCGCACGGATTTTTTGGCTTGAATATTATTTTGTAGATTTTGTTGTTACCTGATATATTTTGCGACATTATAAAACAGTATTTTTCAATACTACAGTTAGAGTAGGTGGATATTATACGTGAGTAATTAATTTATTGCGTATGTTGTAGGTGGGCAGGTATATCAGCAAATATTGTTACTATTTTTTGAGGAACTTCACGACGATGAAATCCATCATGGATACTTTCAGCAAGATGGCGCAACAGCTCACACCTCTAACGAAACTTTAGAGTTGATTAGAGAGTATTATGATGATCGAATAATTAGTCGAGATAGATGGCCACCACGTTCTCCTGACCTTACACCCCTAGACTATTATTTATTTGGTTTTTTAAAAAATTCAGTATTTGCTCAACGGTTACACACGATTGAAGAACTTCAAGAGGCAATTACAAACGAAATTAGGAGTATTACACAAAATGTTTTACAGAATGTATTTAATAATATGAAAAGAAGAATTAATACCTGCTTGAACAACAATAGACATCATATTGAACATTTATTGTAAAAATATAGATATTTTTATGAATTTTATGTAATTTGAAGGTAAAATATTCAATAAAATGTGAAAAAATTCCAATTACTCTGTTATTACATATTGCATGTAACTGTTGTTTATTGCTCTCGGTCATACAGACAATCCTACCATCTAACATAATCAAGCACTTCCAACTGCTTGCATTTGCTTGAAGCAAACGTTTTTAAGACACTTCCTGAATTTCGACAGCTAACTAAAATGTTCAGCATAAATTTTTGGGCTGGATCGCTTGCGCTGGATATTCAGAAGTGTGAAAGCAGTAGCTGCAAAATAGTCGTCTTATAACCATACAGCAGTTTGCTTTGATGAAAAACAGCAGCTTGCAGCGTATCGCTGTATAGCTGAATCGTCTTAGATGCCAAGAATATAGACACAATAGTGCTTCTCTTAAAATTAACTCAAAACTTTTTAAAAATAAAATCACTGAAGCACTTACAGTCTTTATTCAAAATTAGCTACATCAAACTATGATTTAAACGTTTTTCTAATTGTAAATGAAATAAGAATTTTGAAAAAGTTAGGCTAAACCTAAATTTGATTCTGTCATCCTCTTTAATAATAATAACAATAGTAACATTTATTGGTCCATCAGTATTGCTTAATTTGTGAAATAACTTTGATTTTTGTTAAATAATTGATATTTTTATTATGAACTTCCATTTTGACAGTAACCTAATTTATTTGACGTTTGAACGTAATTATTTGTTTACCATTAAAATCCCTCAACCTGCGCTCATGATTCTAGTATTGTTATCAAAAACTGGTATGCCGCACATCAAAAATCAGTATGAGGCGGCACGGTCAATCATTCTCGATCACCCTGTATAACCTTAAATTCGATTGTCAAAATTTAAAAGACTACTGACTACTTTGTAAGTAAACACGCCTTTAATACTACCTCTAATAAATTTCTCAAAAGAAAACTTACTCTCCTTCCAGCTTCGTTGTTGTGTAGGTTCATCAAACCCATGGCTGTGTTTGGGTCCTCGCGGACGTCTAGGAACTGCCTGCTGAAATTTTCACCATACTTGATGTCGTCCGAACATCCACCCCATTTCCATTTTTGGGATTTCTTCCTCTTTATCTTGTTGTCACAAGAGCAGTATTCGGACAAATCGCCTTTTGAACACGCTCTTGTAACTGTGTATGCCACACTAGCTGCTGATATTGCTGAAAGGTAGGCAGCTTCTCTACTCCCTGAAAAACAAATAAGTTATAATAATTACCAAGTGGAAATTACTTCGTGCTTCTTTCAAGGTGTGAAGCTGACGAATATGATAGTAAAGATGATGGTAAATAGTTTTTTTTTAGATAAAATGTACAATTAGGGAAGTACGAAAGCACTTACTAACTGTGACAACATTTCCAAATGTGTTATTTCTTTCGGGAAACGTAGTGCAGTTCCACCTGCTGAATGAAAATTGGTTCTGGCATTCTTCCATGGCAAGTCGAGCTCCAATTCCTAAAATCTAAAAAAAAATAGGGATATTAGAACGTTGATACGATTTATTTATAGTTTAGATAAATATGTTTTTGAGAACTTTCAATGTTTAATGTATTTGTCATACAGGGTGTTTTCAAATTTACCGGAAAAAAGTGAAACGGGCTCTAAGGAAAATAAAAAAAGGTTCCTGTGATCTTATATCTTAAACAGCTTAGTTCTCGGGACTACAGTGAGTTAATACTTTGGTAAAATGTAATATTTATGCAAATGTCGTTGAAGATGTTTGGTGTAAACTCGTAGAAACTGATAAACCTAACAAAAGTAAAGCGAACATTTTTTTGCGACCATGTATAATTTTCCAATTTTTTTTTATATTTGATAAAGAAATTGTACTTAGGATCGTATTTGTGGCAAAAAAGATTGATAGACTTTTTCTGTGAATTTTTATTTTTGCTTGGTTAAATTACGGCTAACTTAAGTTTCAACGATAAGTGAATAAGTTCTCACAGATACTTATTTAGGGCTCATAAAATACAAATGGGGCATTCTCTGTCACCCCTAAAGATTTTTGAGATAAATAATTAATTTTGGGCTTAAAATTTTGATTAGACATCTACTTTTAATGCCGCTTGGCGATTTTGACAAGTTAAAGATGGCGGCACTGTGTCATCCATAAAGTATTTTTTTGTATACAAATAAGTACATATTCGATAACAAGTATTTGAAAACAATATAAATATGATTGTTTGTTAGTATGCTAATGTTTTCTGGGTCACTGATCATGATTCCGAAGTCAAAATTTGCAAATTCAAGATGGCAAATCGTAGATCCAATATGGCGGCCATAACCTTCGAAATCTGATTTTGTTGACGAAACTTGACGGAAATGGAGGGAAAATAGGGGAAATGAGGAATGGTAATATTATTTGCCATTTGTAAAAATTGTAAGATATCTTCTAATTTCGTTAGGTAAAAGCATTGACATTTTGAAATATCGTTTTAAAGTTACATAAAATATCTGCAAGATTTTATGCATTATTTCAAAAATCTAGTTCGCAACAAAGATAAAATATAACGATAAACAGATAAATTTTAATCTATACAAAGTTCTACGTTTCGACATTTTCGGCACCCATATTGGATCCGCCATCTTAAATTTTCAAATTTTGACTTCGGAATCTTGATCGGCGATTCCGAAAACCTATAGGAACCCATTTCCATCAAGTTTTGTCAAAAAAATCAGATTTCGAAGGTTTTACCATATACCTATTGGATCTGCCATCTTGAGTTTTCAAATTTTGACTTCGGAATCGTGATCGACAACCCCGAAAACCTGTAGGAACCCATTCCCATCAAGTTTGTCAACCAAATTAGGTTTCGAAAGTTTTGGTCGCCATATTGGATCCGCCACGCCATCTTGAATTTTCAAATTTTGACTTCGGAATCATGATCAGTGACCCAGAAAACATTAGCATACTAACGAACAATCATATTTATATTGTTTTCAAATACTTGTTATGGAATATGTGCTTACTTCTATACCCGATATATGTTACTACAAAAATGTATGTTTCAAGTCACCCTGAGTAAGAATCCACTGTAATTTTTTTCCTGAAAAAATACCCAATAATGGTTAAATTAGTACGTTTATAATTTTTGCAAAGATGATTACAGTGGGCTTGAATTATAAAATGACTTAAAACATTATTCGGACATACTTTCGCGATTTATGTTAAAAAAGAAATTGTTAAAAAGGTCAATACATAAAAAAGTTAAGGGGATGTAAATTTGTATGTAAAATGTTAAAAAAATTATGAATTTTCACTTTAATGGATTCTGGAAGAGGAAGAGAAGTTCGTTAGCTGACTCATATGTTATTTTATTATAAAATATATAAAATTTAGGTATATTTTAATAGCCCTTTTACATTAGGGGCCATAAAAATGTGGAGGCCATCGACCTACCTTTACAATAAAAATTCTAAATATTATACGGTAGTCTAGTCTGACACGCACCTATACTCGTATACAGGGTTTCTTATATGTAAGTTTTCGAGCAGTTTTGATTGAATGCATGCTATTTGTTGATCTAATATTTACGTGTGAAAGGTTAAATTGGTTTTCTTTTCATTTAATACAAATATGTCTATTTTTTCCCTTTTAGATCTGACTATTAAGCTCAGGGAAAGAACTATAACATATAAATAATAAACTTTATGTAAATGAAACCAACAATAAAACAAATTTCATTCAAAATTTATATACAAATCACAAACAATGTTAAACAAATACATACATTTATACATTCAAATTATTAATATATTATAGTCACGTGTAATAACAATCATTGGAAAAGAATTGACTACATAAAATTGCTAATAGATGACATTATACTTTTTTGTGTAAAATAATGAAAATATCTATAATTTTCTTTCATGTCGTCATATTAAATTGATAACAAACAATGAATGTGTCTCATATTCTAATTTCAATAAAAGAATTGATTTTTTAGAATACTTAAAAATCTAACATTGAAGAAGAATTGATTTTTTAGAATACTTAAAAATCTAACATTTTAGATTTATTTAAAAGTATGATTGTGTAATTTTGAGTGTTTACAGTAAACATTTTTTTAAAATTATTCTTATTTAAATGTTCAGCAATGCTAACTTTAGTTTTCTTAGTAATTATAATCGTTATAACATAAAAGATAAGCACCAGAACAATCAAAATCAACAAGTGCTTAATATGCATAAAAACTTTTTTAAATTACGAGACTATTAATTAAGATTAAGCCACTAAAACACCAAAAAGTTTATTATTACAATATTACTACAGTTTGACATTTTATATTAACTAACTCTGTTTATTATACAGGGTTCTTCACGGTAAGTGGCCTATTAAACGTTTCAGAGGAACCAAAGACAATATGACTTTGAAATTTTGTACGGAGGTTATCCAATATGTTCTCTTTAATGAAAATAATGATATCAACGTACTATTTCCGGTTATACCGGAAGTAGCTGTCAACTTCATTATTTTAAATGGAACACCCTATATATTATTGCATTTTCAATAAGATAGAATAAAAATAGGTTAAAAATGTTACAGCTTCACCATACGTAAATCTAACCGTTTTTTTTTTTGAGAAAATCGAAAAAAAAAATTGAGACAATCGAAACTGTAACCCCTACAATGCCTATATCGATGAAAAGAGAATTTGATTTTCTATAATGTGGCTAAAAAATACAGGGTGTTCCATTTGAATTTAAAAAGTTTTGGCGGTTTTAAGTCTTCAAAATGTAACGTGAAAAATGGGACACTTTTGTTCAGGTAATTTTGATAGCGGAAGATAGTGCATCTTATGTTCTTTGTGTATTCCGAAAAGCAAGTGAAAGCTCCCAGAACGAAGGAAGATATAAGGAATTTTTGAAATGCTTGCATCTGTCAAAATTTATATAAAATGTCGATTATCTCGAAAACGGTTAGATTTACGTATGGTGAAGCTTTAACATTTTTGACTTATTTTTATTCTATCTTATTGAAAATGCAATAATATATAGGGTGTTCCATTTAAAATAACGAAGTTGACAGCTATTTCCGGTATAACCGGAAGCGGTACGTTGATGCCATTATTTTCATTAAGGAGAACATATCTGATAACCCCCGTAAACAAAATTTCAGAGTCATAATGTCTTTGGTTCCTCTGAAACGTTTAATAGGCCACTCACCGTGAAGAACCTTGTACATTAACTAAACAATGTGTTTCGTATTGCATATACAGGGTGATTCACAACTTATCCAAAATAATTTGAGTGTATTAATCATTTTCGAACTGTTCTTTTTGATTTCTTTTTACAAAATTGTATCTATAAGAGTCCCTGTGCATTAAATTTTAATTTTTTTTTTTTCGTATAAGTTCTGAAACACCCTATATAGCGTGTATTTACTACTATCTACTGCTAAATTCTTACTTACTGGTAATATTCTATCATATCTGGAACAAAGTTCTCTTTGTGACTCTATAAAATATTCTAGCTTCATACATCTATCTTTGTGCTGAGCTGGTGTCAAGTCTACGGAATTGGACATGATATTTGGAAATCCTAACTGCCTGTAACAAAGAATTATTTTAGTCGAGGAAAAAAGACAAGCTTCAACTAAGTATAGTATAGTAAGTAAGTAAGAATTGCACTTGGTCAGTTTCCTAAGTATTTCATTAAGATGCCTATTTTAAATACTATATTAGGAATAGGCTTTCAAAATGCGGTTTGGTCGTTATTGCATATTTCGAGAATAGGTAAAAATGTGTTGCTCAAACAGCTTTATGTGCAAAGACATATTTTTCACTAAAACGAGACAATATGATTAGAATTAGATATTATTAAAAGTTGAAGAAGATTCAAACATTTATATCAATTTGTAATGTTTTCCTCATAGAAATATAGAACTTAATGAAAAAATTGCTGAAACTGACTAAAAAGTAAGTTTCAGTAAAAAAACATTCATCTTATCTATATATTAGCAACTCAGCGGTTTAATGTGCCAGTATTTATGTATTGCTGCCACCGAGAGTTCGAACCCCGAGAATGAACGTCTTATAATTAAATCTGCTTTATTCGTAAGTGGCTTCTCTGTGGGTACAGCTGGATGAAAGACTGTTGAGAAGAACTTGAGAGTTTCACAGTCAGCGTTTCACCATTTTTTCCAGTTAATGAGATTTTCCTAAGTTTATCTCATTCCTGAATTGTTTTGTTAGGAGTCCCTTCTCCCATCTTTGATTTGTTGGCTAATCCTTGTATTATGGAAAGTAGTAGATATTATTAAATGTCTACAATCATATGACAAATTCATAAAATTAAATAAACGGGAAATTCCCAAAATTCTCTACAAAGATAACTTCTTCAGTTTCATTACATTCTAGATTTCCTTCATTCTTACATTCACTGTCGTGATTCTCCTACTTAATGATATTTAATTATATTTTTATCGTCGTAGTTTGTTTATTCTCTGAACAAAATGTGGTTTAATAATGATAGTTTCGTCTCAGTTAGCAAATGTTTTGTAAGCCCAAAAGAGCATTAATTCGTATTTGTATTATTTTTCGAAAACTGTCATAAAATGATGACATTTTAATTCTGTTATTCTGTTCTGTTTAGAGAAATATGTTATTTTCATACAGTTGTTAAATTTCCAGCCAATTCAAATGAATCGATTTTCCTTGTTTCAGAGTTGCGAATTATCAAAAGTTTATTACGTAGACCAGGAAATACAGAGTTGGACGCGACTTTTTGTTTCGACAAGCTGAATTTATCACTATAGATGCTAAATATTATGTACAGTAACATATTAGTTTCCACAGTCATAAAAATGGAGGGACAGGCTGGTTAATTGTATAATTTTTACGTAAATTCACGTTTTTCGCTTATACCTGTTTTCCGTCCATTTCCACGAGAAAACAGAAGCCAGATTCAATTTCGAGCAGGCCGAAGCGGCCGCGCTCTCTGTTTCCCCCACCACCACCTACCCGTACGATTTTATTGAATTTCTCGCTTGCATAAATAACTTTAAACACGTTTTAAAGTAGGTTGCCAATGAAGAAAAGTATTGTAATCTTAGACCTGGTTAGTACTCGGAATACCAAAGGTATTTTTCGAAAAATTAGCTCGGATGTCCCAGTACATTTAGTGTAAATGACGGCTATAACTACGTAACTAATTGATCAATCGATCTGTTTTTTTTTTAAAGAATCGTCTTTCCAAGAACTTTTAAAACCTGCTTTAAAAAATTTGATTTGATTGAATATTCACAAAGTTCTAATTGTTTATAAGTACAAAAATTCGACCAATGTTTAAACAAGCGTCAGAACTCTCCTAATTGACGGATTCGTATTTTTCAAAAAAAGTTTGAAAGCTTGAGTGCCCTTCTATATGTGATTAAATTTTCAAGTATCTAAGGGCCTTGGTTTTTGCTGTGCAAAATTTTGAAAATTTGCAATTGTTTTTTCTTTTGAGCTAAGTATAAAGGTCCTATACCCAAGAAAATTCCATAAAAAGTATTGTTTTTTAACCCCATTTTTGCCATATTGTGCCGTTAAAAGTTAAGCCCACATTTTTTTTATGCGCATAGAAAAATTTTCATTTCTAGTGATATTTAAAAGCCAAAAAGCCAAAAATCTCCGTGGATATACGATTCACCCAAACCAAAACAGATATCTTCCACAATCGCACTGATTTTTTTCATGGTAGATTTCATAATAATACATTGAAATCTATAATTTTTTTTTAATTTCAAATTTGCAGCCTGGAAAATTTTTTATTTTTTAGTAAGCTAGCCTTAGTTGCAAAATGAAATATACGACGCACCAGCGTGATATAGTTATATATAATTATATTCGGAAAGCTTATGAAAAGAGCTTTAAGTTTAAAAAAAAATCATCAAGATTCGTTGAAAAACAACGAAGTTACAGACTGTCAAATATATTACTTTCAAGCGAATTTCGCTTTTTAATGGCAGGGCTATGAATATTATCGTCATTTTCTTCGGACTCGCTGTCGTTCGCTTCCTCCACCTTTCCGCCGTGCCACGGCTCGCCGAAAAATCAAGTGACCCACTGACTTTTGACAATATAACTAACTTCTTCTGTTTATAACTTTTGAAGTAATCAATATTTTTTGACGCACGTGGGCTAGTTTTGTAGGTCTTTTGAAGACGAAAAAAAAGTACTTTACTGTCTTCTCGTGGAAATGAACGGAAAAAAGTTATAAGCGGAAAACGTGAATTTACGTAAAAATTATACAATTAACCAGCCTGTAAACAATCTTCCCCCCATTTTTATAACTGTGAAAACTAATGTTATTGTACATAATATTTAGCATTATAGTGATAAATTCAACGTGCCGAAACAAAAAGTCGCGAAATGGTCATTTCCCAGGTTATTTTCCTGGCCTATCCATATTCATTTTCATCTTATAGCCATCTTTGAAATATCCTCAGTGGAATAGAAGAACTATGAAACATCATAGTTCATCTACAATTAACATGACTTTATTGTGTATTGCTAGATATTTATTTATTTATTTATTTAAGTTACACCACCTGACAGTTAAAACCAATTAATAGGTGGGAGAAATAGCTAATAAAAATAGATGCATTAACAAAATCAGATTACTAAAGTACAAGAGTAAAAAAACAGTTAACAATAATACAGATTATAAAAGTTATAAAAAATTATAAAAGATAACCACTACGCATATAGGACTAAAAAAAAAAAAATACAGTCGACAAAGTTAAAATAAATGCTAACATAAATACCAACAAAACAATCATTTTAAAATTCAATTAAAACTAGTATACATATAATTATCCTAAAGCAGGTCATATAAAGAATGATTAAAAATTAATATTGCAAGTTATGACTAGAAAAAACTCTCTTAATATGGGATATATTATCATGAAAAATATCCACAAGGTTCTGCATTCGAGAGTGATTTTCAACCATTGTATACAACGGTGAAAACTTTAATAAATTCGTTCGAGGTGTGGGAAGATAGAACAAAGACGAAGACCGGGTTCCAGTGCGGGGAACATGAAAACACAAGGCAGCTAAAAGATCCGGACAATCAATCAATCCAGTAATGATTTTATACAGGGTTATTAGTGAGTTACACATACGTCGTGTAGCCAGGTCATTAAGGACAAATCGTCCAAGCAAAGTACCATGAGGTATACCCTGTGGTGGATAACAGCCATCAGACTTGAACCATAAATACTTTACATATTTCCGTTGAATGTTCTCAAGTTTTTTACTGCGAACTATATAATGTGAATTCCATACTAGAGAGGCATATTCCAGTTTGGGAAGAACAAATGCATTAAACAATAAGGATACTGCCTTAATTCCCGTAAATTGTTGTGAATTCCTCACAATGAAACCAAGATTTCTATATGCTTCACGTTGAATATTATTAACGTGTTCATTAAAATCTAGTTTAGTATCAAATGTTACACCGAGATCCTTAAAAGAGTTACATTTCCTAATCAAGTTATTACCAACAGAATAATTATATGTAATCGGGCTAATCTTTCTAGTGACAGTCACGGAATGACACTTGGATAGGTTTAAAGGTAATAAATTCGTAGCACACCAGTTGCTAACTCTATCTACATCAGATTGAAGCCGTAGACAGTCGTTCAGATCACTCACGGATAAATACAATTTAAGGTCGTCTGCGTACAGAAGGGCGTTACAATTTAGGTTCAACGTAATAATTAACAAAAACCAGAAACAATAACGGACCGAGAACTGACCCTTGTGGGACTCCAGATGTAGCATTAATATCCATTGATCGGAAATCACGATACTCCACTGTCAATTTCCTCTGAGATAGATAAGATTGAAGGAATTGACTAAATAAATTAGTTAATCCCATATTGGAGAGTTTTGACAGTAGAATACCATGGTCCAACCGATCAAAGGCCTTGGAGAAGTCCGTATAAACAACATCAACCTGACCACTATTATCCAAATGCATGGATATATAGATATGTCAATGAGACTATTTTGTCATTCTTAGATAATTAAATATAAGGAAAAATATTTAGGAAATGGAACGTTATTCCAAATGGTTGGTATAGATGGCCCAGCAGAATTAACTGTTTGATTTGACACAATTCTGAGCCATATTTAATAATTCCATTAAAATTAAATGTGCATTTTCCTTCTCTTATCGACATGAAATTTGCGCAAATATTGCATTCTTATCGCTGCAGACGGATCTCCTAATAGGATTAAAATCTACGTCGCCAGGGTAGACATGTTCGTAGACAGTGGCGTAAGATATTGCTTTCTGACTGTGGTCCCAGGTGGATAATCGAACTAAACTCGTCCCTAGGCGATAGCCTCATCTGTTCTCAAACAGCCTCGACCCCTTCGCACAGAAATATCATTGCGTCCATCGCCATCATCCATCCGAGCTAAATAACACCGATTTGCAGGACAAACAAATCCCGTACAGCCCCAACAAAAGGATCCTCAACAAACAGGAAACATTCTTAATTGGGCGCCGTATTCTACTGATTAAAGTTCAAGCCAATATGTAACAGACGTTGTTC